TATTAGATGGGTGGACGAGCTCACAGCCCACCTGTTGTTAAGTGGTTACTGGAGCCCATGGACATCTACAACGTAAATGCGCCACCCACCATGAGATACAAGTTCTAAGATCTCAGTATAGTCACAACGGCTGCCCCACCCTTCAAACCGAAACGCATTACTGCTTCATGGCAGAAATAGGCGGGGCGGTGGTACCTACCCGCGCGGACTCACAAGAGGTCCTACCACCAGTAAGAAAAAGAAACTACTGAACGCTTTTTCATTTACACAGGTGGACCGAAATTAATTTAGAACAGAACCATAGGATTGGTTGTTGTTGAATCGGAAGTTGCGAGTAAAAGCTTTTAGACTGTCAGATTTGCATAGCAGCTTTGCATAGCAAATAATAATTTATTAATACGAAAGTAACTTTATCTGTTACGCTTGTAATTCCATATTATTGAACTGAATTTTGATGAAATTCTGTATGAAAGTTCGGATTCTAGGAAGGAATATAGGCTCTAACTCTAAATGTAGTAGCATGCAAATGAATCTGGATAGTCTAGATAAATAGACAAAAACAAAGCAGTTTACTACTATGATATTTCTTCTTCTTGTGTTTGAGAACCGAATTTCTTCTTTTTGTCTACAAGCTTTAGTGCTAGCAAATTTAAATAAATACCTAATGAAAAACATAAAACAAATTTGAATCTGGACATGTCAGTGATTTCGGCCGAATTTCGACCATAAGAAGAACACTAGTAAAAGTACAGTTTTGTTTTTCACTAAACTCCTCGCTAACCGATTTTGATGGATTTTATTTGTGTGTGTTCGAGTGGATCCCTGGACGGTTTAGATTTATAATTGGAACCGGAGTTGCAATCAGACTGCGGGTTTTTTAAATTATTTTCAGGGTAGGGCAACGACTGCCAGGCCCTTGGTAAATAAATGAAACTAGTTACACTGTTGTTGCCTTTAAAATGTGGGTGTGGCAGAGGATGCTACGAATACCGTGGACTGCCAAGAGAACTAACGAGTCCATTCTAATAGAGCTAAACATCCGAAAAAGTCTCTTTGCCATCTGCCGGGAACGTGTTATGAGTTTCTTCGGACACATTATGCGGTCTCCCAGACATGAATTAGAGAAGCTCATAATTGCGAGTCGCATAGAGGGTAAGCGCGCCGTGGGCAGAACACCAGCCAGACGGTCAGATCTGGTAAAGGAAGCACTTGGTGGTAATTTGTACCATGCGGTCCATGCCACCCATGACCGAAAACAGTGGAGGAGCATTACATGTAGTCGCGATCCTCAGCAGTGAGGGAACGATATAGAAGTTTTTTTTATTGCTTATATGGTTGGCCGAGCTCACAGCCCACCTGGTGTTAAGTGGTTACTGGAGTCCATAGACATCTACGACGTAAATGCGCTATCCACCTTGAGGTATCAGTTCTAAGTTCTCAAGTATAGTTACAACGGCTGCCCCACCCTTCAAACCGAAACGCATTACTGGGGCATGGGGGCAGTCGTTGTTCTGTAAACACTGAGACCTTAGAACGCATGTCTCTAGGTGGGTGGCGGCATTTACGTTATAGATGTCTATAGACTCCAGTCATCATTGAACACTAGATGGGTTATGATCTCGTCCACCTATTTAAGCATTAAAAAAAATTAAGTAATCATTAAATGATAATTAATTAATTAATTAAACCTTCTGAGGTGTTTTTTATTTACACCAAANGTTCTGTAAGCACTGAGACCTTAGAACGCATGTCTCTAGGTGGGTGGCGGCATTTACGTTATAGATGTCTATAGACTCCAGTCATCATTGAACACTAGATGGGTTATGATCTCGTCCACCTATTTAAGCATTAAAAAAAATTAAGTAATCATTAAATGATAATTAATTAATTAATTAAACCTTCTGAGGTGTTTTTTATTTACACCAAATGCTTTTTTTCTATTCGACTCTAGATATAGGCAAAACATATAGGCAATAAATAGGCGACTTTTTAGAAACGTCTACAATTTTAACGTTTTAAGTCATTATAACAATTCTGTATACAAAAAAATTAATAAATGTATAAAATCAAAAGAATCGAAAGTTAAAATTAGCCGGAATTTCGTATTATAATTGTTTGCGGTGTTGTAAAATCATTTACCGTTAAATCTATGTTGGCCAATTCGAATAATTAATTACGATTACTGTCATGAAGAGTTTACGAAACGAAATAATAAACGCAAGTACCTACAGACGCTGCTAACAGCATTAGGTATTAATAATTAATTTAAAGCAATGATTAATGGTTTCTTCATTAGGACGTATTACAAATTCGCTCGGGTGAACACCAAATATCGTACAGATATAAGTACGATCTGAAGGACTCCTAATTGACCTCGCGTCCCACGGTGGCTGGAGGGGTTTCCCTCTATACAAGTCTAAGTTTTGTTGTAATCTTATTACTGATGGTAGGGTCTCTTCCCTGTCCATGTCGAAATAATAATATTTGTTTGTCTAACTAAAAGTTTTTTTTGTCCACCTGATCTTTGGTAGCCTAAAGGGCTATTTCGACCGGCGTGGGCTGGTAAGTGGCTCACGCAGCTCAAACTGAGAGGACTTAATAACACTAGCTCTAGCAGGAGCAGTGCTTCGCTAAATCTACCACCTTGAGATATGTATGTATAGCGTATGTACAGCGACTAACCCACTCTCCGATACGTTACAATACGTCCTATTATTTACTGGTGGTAGGACCTCTTGTGAGTCCGCGCGGGTAGGTACCACCACCCCGCCTATTTCTGCCGTGAAGCAGCAATGCGTTTCGGTTTGAAAGCTGGGGCAGCCGTTGTAACTATACTGAGACCTTACAACTGATATCTCAAGGTGGGTGGCGCATTTACGCTGTAGATGTCTATGGGCTCCAGTAACCACTTAACACCAGGTGGGCTGTGAGCTTGTCCACCCATCTAAGCAATAAAATAAAAAAACAAACACGAGTGACCTGTCTATTTCTGCGGCGAAGTAGTCTGTAGTTGTACACTTGAGACTCCGACTGAGTGATGACATGAGTGTCTCAAGGTGGGTCATCCATATTAGCATTTAACACGCAGCCTCATGTTAGCCGTGTATCGATTAACATCATAAAACAAATCATCCATTATTGTTCTCGTGATTCGTAATCAAGTCTTTAGTTATCTGAAAGTCATATCACGTAGGTAATGAAGTTACGGGCAAGCTATAATTTTACTTACCATTGTTAATGACATGGACTAGTGACAATGGCCGCGTTCAAACCGCTTGATTGCCTTTTTCTGTGTGCTAAGCTTGACTTTAGTAACCTAAGTCTAATTCCATATCTACCTACGAGTCGTCTCAGTATGCTTCACAAAATAACTAAGCCTAATAAAATGATAGTAAAAAGAAAACAGTAGGTACTTTAAATATTCACTTGAATCAAGAATGTTTTCCTTAACACTAATCATACCATCACTTACTGATACCTGTTTCTGTCATAGCGGGTAGATAACGGTATACGACAAGTATTACTCAAAATAAACAAAACAAAACAAAAAAACAGTATAATAACTGTAGATTAACTCGTAAGAATAAATGGCAATGGACAGGACATATGACAAGGGAAAGCAGAATGAAATGGAATAAAATTATAACAGAATGGCAGCCACATGATGGCAAAAGAAAAAGAGGTAGGCCAGCTAGAAGATGGACAGATGATATAAAGATGATTGGACGGACAATCTGGTCCAGAAAAACTAGCAATAGAGAAGAATGGAAGCAGCTGGAAGAGGCCTATGTGTCACAGGACACGCTGAACACTGAACCGGGAAACCCGATGTATTAGATTAGATTTAAGTTAAAACAATTTGCTACTATGTGTAAATATCATTGTTTAGTATCAGCAGTAAAGGCTTACAACAACAATTGGTAAGAAAAAGTCATGAAGTCAAATGTGGAAAAGCAACAAGATACGTACATTTTCAATGCAAAAGATTAAAATGGGTCAATTGGCCCGTTATGGTATGCTTAGTGTTAAATGCAATTACTCTTTTTAGGGATTATTGAATTGAAAAACGTAATTACGAATTCTCAAAGTACCATTTCATATAAATAAAAAAAAAGAAGAAAAAAAAAGAACCCAGCTGATTTGCGATTCGCGATGCACATTAAAACGCGTTAAATCGAAATACGAATGAATCGAAACACGAAATTGGATGTTTTGAAACGAGCTTAATATCACCGGAGCATCACATCGTGCGTTTACCTGAGTTTTTTTTTTCGAAAGCTCGCCAGAATAGGACAACAGATTCAAGTTTAACGCAACGTGTAAATACGAAGCAAGGAACGACGCTACCAACAATGCACGATTCCGGCTGGTTATATTACCCGGCCGTTTCGAAGTTATACCTCGATTATTGTAAATTAACTGTACGAATGCGCCTCTAGGTTTCGGCCGGCTAGCGGGCCGGTGTGGCAACCATGCGCGGCGCATTCTTCACCAATCCGAACAAACTTCACGGCAGTTGCCTCCCGACCGCCGAGCGTGACGGACTGCCGTCGGTCACTCCCAAAAAACGATCGTACAACAAACAGTTAAAGCAATTTAAAGTGAATTAAATCGATTCGAAATTCGTATTCAAAGTGACGTCATAACTTAGTGATGGGAATCAGTGGGAGACTCAAGAGTTTTGACTCGTTGCGATGACCAAAACTTTCGAAAGAAAAAAGTTACAGTGTACAAGTTTTGGTTTAAAAAAAAAATTGTGCGTTGAAATGTTGGCCTGATGGGATCGGAAGACGGGCGGCTTTGTGTAGTTAGTGATGTGTACTGTGATATAAAATTTCGACGGTCGCGTAGATGATCGTTCTGATAGGGTGTGATACACTTAGTTTAGTTGCCAAAGATTCCTGATGATCTTATATATTAGTTTGTGTTTTATATTGGTAGTTTTAGGTAAGTTATCGTCTTTTATACTACAAATGTTACTCTCTCAGCTANATCGGAAGACGGGCGGCTTTGTGTAGTTAGTGATGTGTACTGTGATATAAAATTTCGACGGTCGCGTAGATGATCGTTCTGATAGGGTGTGATACACTTAGTTTAGTTGCCAAAGATTCCTGATGATCTTATATATTAGTTTGTGTTTTATATTGGTAGTTTTAGGTAAGTTATCGTCTTTTATACTACAAATGTTACTCTCTCAGCTACAAATAAAGATAATATTGAACCACCGATTCTGCCCTCATTTGCATACATGAATAATTACGTCGCACTGATAAACGTGCGAGTGGAAATCTTAAATGTTTTCTGGTAACAAAGAGCATTCCAAGAACTGCATAGATTAAAATCTCGCTCACACTTAACCCAAAGTAAATAAGGAAATATACATTTATTGAATGACGATAAAAATAAGTCAAATTTCGTGCAAAATAATCAAATAATACTTTTTAATTAGCAAATTAATAATTAAATATTTAAAGACGCAATGCTGGGACTTTCTCTTCTGCTTTGAATGCTGGGAGCATAAACATCGAGCAATACGCATGAAAACCGAATATTTACATAAATTCCGACTTAGAATGCTATCATGGCTCCGTAGACATGTCACTAACAGTGGTCCAATGAAACGGAACGACCAAAATAACACCATTTTAATAACACCAATTATTCATACTTACTAATGTGATTCTTTTGATACTTTGAATTTAGGCCTAGCATTAAGCTTTATGTAGCTAAGTGAAAACCGTCAAAATGAATTCTAACATTTCACATTGATATAGTCGCTCTAATCTCGTCTCACCAAACGATCCTTATTCCGTTCAAATAATACATACTCCCCCAAAAAATATAATAGAGGAAGCTTATAAATCCTACTTAGGATAAACAATATCAAACCCGCATTGTAGACATTTGTAGATAAGCAGCTATCAATGTATTTGTCTGATCCGACATACACGGCTAAAACATAATGACCCCTAAATAGTGCTCATCCCGGTTAATTGACTCATAACTCGTCAGATAAACGAATCAATTAAAAAGATAGGAATGTGACTGTGAAGGAAATATATCGAGATAAGTGTCAGATTAATGGAAGCTAATATTTATATACGAACCTAGGAGTGTTTCCGTCGTTTTGGACGCGCATAATGTAGTACTCAAAATGATACAGAGATACGTAACGATGGACCAAATATTGCTTAACACTAAACGAGTCGACTATTATCAAAGCCGGCAATGTCACTTTTGGACAATTATTGGTAAATCAGAAAAACGAATTATTGACTTTGTATTCCATTGGCAGTCACAAAACTCTTCTGAACGACATCTTAGATAAATAACAGGTTAAGTATTAACCTTTATTTAATGCAGCTTTTGAACCGTATTCTTTGAAGGAGACGATTATATTCAAATCAATCTGTATTTAAGTCGTCGTGGTCTAACGGATAAGACGTCCGATGCATTCGCGTTGAGCGCAATGCACCAGTGTTCGAATCCCGCAGGCGGGTACCAATTTTTCTAATGAAATACGTACTCAACAAATGTTCACGATTGACTTCCACGGTGAAGGAATAACATCGTGTAATAAAAGTGAAACCCGCAAAATTATAATTTGCGTAATTACTGGTGGTAGGACCTGTTGTGAGTCCGCGCGGGTAGGTACCACCGCCCTGTCTATTTCTGCCGTGAAGCAGTAATGCGTTTCGGTTTGAAGGGTGGGGCAGCCGTTGTAACTATACTGAGACCTTACAACTTATATCTCAAGGTGGGTGGCGCATTTACGTTGTAGATGTCTATGGGCTCCAGTAACCATTTAACACCAGGTGGGCTGTGAGCTCGTCCACACATCTAAGCAATAAAAAAAAAAGACTTCTTGATGTCCGTGGACTTCTGCTACTACATGACCGGGTCGCAGCGAGACCGTTCATGCATATTGTGCAATAAAAAAGCTATATATTATTATTATTATTTGAATATACTAAATATGTTTTTTTTTAAATGGAATATTCATTTTAAATTCTTTATCTATAATAAGCATTATCAATTATAAAAAACGATAAGTCGATAATTGAGTCGACTATTATCAAAGCCGGCAATGTGACTTTTGGACAATTATTGGTAAATCAGAAAAACGAATTATTGACTTTGTATTCCATTGGCAGTCACAAAACTCTTCTGAACGACATCTTAGATAAATAACAGGTTAAGTATTAACCTTTATTTAATGCAGGTTTTGAACCGTATTCTTTGAAGGAGACGATTATATTCAAATCAATCTGTATTTAAGTCGTCGTGGTCTAACGGATAAGACGTCCGATGCATTCGCGTTGAGCGCAATGCACCAGTGTTCGAATCCCGCAGGCGGGTACCAATTTTTCTAATGAAATACGTACTCAACAAATGTTCACGATTGACTTCCACGGTGAAGGAATAACATCGTGTAATAAAAGTGAAACCCGCAAAATTATAATTTGCGTAATTACTGGTGGTAGGACCTGTTGTGAGTCCGCGCGGGTAGGTACCACCGCCCTGTCTATTTCTGCCGTGAAGCAGTAATGCGTTTCGGTTTGAAGGGTGGGGCAGCCGTTGTAACTATACTGAGACCTTACAACTTATATCTCAAGGTGGGTGGCGCATTTACGTTGTAGATGTCTATGGGCTCCAGTAACCATTTAACACCAGGTGGGCTGTGAGCTCGTCCACACATCTAAGCAATAAAAAAAAAAAAAAAAAAAAACATATCAATAACATTTTTTTGTCCAAATGCACAGATTGCCACCTTTGATAATAGACGACTCAAACATAACATAACGGGTCAAATGATCCATTTTGAGCTTTTGCATTGAAAATGAACGTATTCTTATTGCTTTTGCACAATTGACTTCATGACTTTCTACAGTTATTATAAGTATAATACTTTTTGTTTTGTTTATTTTGAGTAATACTTGTCGTATACCGTTATCTACCCGCTATTGTAGAAATAGGTACCAGTAAGTGTTGGTATGATTAGTGTTAATGGGTGAATGAGCTCAGTGACCACTAGACGTTATGTTGTTACTATGGACATTAACGCGAAAGTCGACACCCGTTTTAAGACATGAGAAGTCTCGATAATATTTTATAAAGATCATTCCCGTGCTTAAAATTAGAACGCATAACTGTTTCAAGGCAGTAATAGGCAGGATCATTGTATCTACCCGTGCGAGTTATCAATATGCCCTTTTTTTTGGGCTGGCATCCGAACCCGCAAGCTTCTGCGCCTGGGAGCGGTATTGTGGGATTCGGTGGCTGAAGATGATACCTTCCAATAAACCTTACCAACTTAAAAAAACCGCTCACCTTGTAATGCTTGGTGGAAACTTTGGATTCAAGTCCCGAAACGGCCCGGAATTGCTTTACAGCTTGAGTTAGTTGGGGATTAGAAGAAGCTAGGAATTAGCGGTAAAGTCAGGTGCAGGGGTAAGATGGGGTTAATCAAATTATATGATCGCGATGGGGCAGGAACAATAGTGGGTTTTAGTAACTCGAGAGACTATTACCGTGCTCATAATAATAATTAATATGTGCAAGAATTTGAGAAGATGCTAAATTGCAAATAAAATTACCGAGAATTGTTATTTTTAATCCCGACCGAGAATTTATTAGCTTACATTCAAAAGCAGGTTTTAAACGAAAACGCTTTAAGTCAAAGATAAAAGTCTAAATATTTACATCCAATTAAGCTTTCATGGGTTCTTTTGTATCGTTCGCACTAACAATGGCAACGGAGCTTCGTTTTCATTAGAGCTTTTTCGAGCTCGAAAAGCTTTTCACATTTGCAATGAATAGTATCTATTTCGCTGTTAAGATAACGTTTTGAAAGTTTCATTGGAACAACACGATTTAGTTATAATTGAAAAATGATATTGCCGATTGATTAACATTAAATAAATTTGGAACTTTCAAGTCTCATCTTCCAACGGAGTTCGTTGACCCTTTAACTTCGACTTTATATAACTTCTATAAGCAAAGGACGGATGCTTTGTAAAACATCGACCTCATTCAGCCACTGGGTTTTCTATCTCTCTACCATCTACTCACTACACCATGGATAGCTAACGAAACCTAGCCTCAAGTCGAGGCAAAGCGATCGACAACCGAATCCTCCTACCATTTCCTCAGCTTGAAATCAGGAGATGAATTATGTTCAAACCTCATTAACTAACTATAAGATTGAATATATTGTTCTATCTCTATCGAAAATTACTCAACAAAAAAAAAGAGAAAGAAAATATGTCTACATCCATGTCTATGAAATAATAGACGGCGTGGCATAAATTGTTACGTCAATTGAATTAATTAAGAAGCGAATACGCAATTTTGTTTAATTCGGTGCTACATTTTTTCCAATTATTTTGCTTTAATAACCAAATTACTGGAGCGAATCGAACGAAATTTCCATAGGACGAATCGTATAGTGTATCTAACCAATAAAAAAAGAATTTGTTACAATCTGTTTACAATTGAATTGAGAATCTCCTCTTTCTTTGAAGTAAGTTTCAAATGAGACTAACCTATTTCTGCCGCGGAACGTGATATTACGATTTTAGGGATAGGCAAGCCGTAAAAAATCTATTGGGACTCCGGTGCTTATGTATCAAGCTGGAGGAGGAATACCCGTGTCGCTGCCCGATATGCCCGCCCATATTATAAATAGAATAAGCTGAACCGTAAAGATACTTATCAAATACAATTCCAAAAGTTCCCCTTACCCAATAAATCTAGGCCTTTTCCTCAAATATCAGATATAACAAATATCTCTAATATCAGGAAAACATAGAACTTGATTTGAATTCAAATTTTCTATTATCAATATTATCTTAATAAAAATAGAATGAACGCTATGTTGTATTACGTAAAGTTTTACCTTCCAAAAGTGTCATAGCTATTCAGACAAAATTTTAAGGCTTCGACACATAATTTGACAATATATTATTATATTGATTTTTCCACGTGTTTATATAAAACTAATTACTAAACTAAATGTGACCCGGCAAACGTTGTTTTGCCATATAATTTTATCTAGGAAAAATAAATAATCTAAATACCGAATGCAGCACCATCTGTCGGTCTGATTTGTGAATCTAAACCATCCAGGGTGCCACCCAAACGCATACAAAAAAAAT